TTTCAAAGGTTCTCTAAAGGGTGTGAGTTCATAATCTAAATTTGAAATTATATATGATTTTGGAAAAAATTCACTAATGTATAATCAAATAACAAAAAGTTATCATGTAAAAAGACTGACATCAACGTATATATATGTATCGGTATCTATTTGTAAATTTAAGGTTTCTTATTATTGGCGTTACCGATAAATAAACAATCTCTTATCCTTACAATGACTAAATTTTATTTTATTATCGATACTGCTGATTAAATAATTCACATACTCCTTACTTTCATTCGATTTCAACATTTCTTATCATGATGACCTTAATTTTAGATGTCATACACACGGAATGTTATTTTTACAACGCATACCATGACTGACCAAATTTATATTGTACCAAATGATGAAAATTTCACATTGTATCATTAATACTATTTGGCAATAAAGAAAATTATTATTCAAGTATTGATTTGTAGGCATTTGGTTGATTAGTTACAGGATTTCCTCATGAGCTGACATCAGGTAGAAAACCATTGGAAGACCTGGGAGTGCTGGACGGCTGTTTCGTCCTAGTTTGGGACTCTTCAGAAGTACGCACCCAACGCCAGGGTTCAAACCCAGGACCTTCTGGTTACAAGGCGATCTCGTATACCATTAAGCCACTGGGACCCGATCCAATGGCCCATGAATTCCAACTTCTGCCAATTCACGATATAGTGCAACCGCTAGCCAATATCTTCGGCGAGTAGTTGTCCTCACACCCAACCTGCTGCACCCTACTGGTCACGACTTCCCACTGGAACCCCAGGTAACTACCTACCTGAATAGGGCCAGTCACCAGTGAGCATCTCATTGATATTCAAGTATTCGTTTGTAGGGATTATTATCCAGAATTATAATGACCAAGTATTATGCTAGCTTGACTGGCAGAATTCATTCTGCATCAAACAAAGGACTAGACGCATGACACTAGTCACTTACTGCCTAGTGTTCAATCAGCGTAACCAATACACTCCTGCATGACATCATTGACGAACCTGATTAGCTCAGGGTTAACGTCTCTGACTGCAGCATTGGATAACATGGATTTGAGTCTCAAAAGGGACATGGGTTTCCTCAAGATTGAAAACGCGCCTTTCTGATAAGTGCCTCAAACAAGTATGAAACGTAGGTGGTTCAAGGCTTCCAACCGATTACTTCCAAGCGTCACAAACCACAACTATCTAGAGATTTCTCAGATAAACTCCTCTTGTGTATTATTACAGAATTAGAGTAAGGCCAACTAGAAGATGGAAAATGACTCCTAAAGTAAATCCATATGGTGAACTCCCTTTCTCTTTGTATCTGTATCTTTTACCACTGATTACCCAAACTTCTTTCTGTTATTATTATAACCTCGTTCTAATGATTCAAAGAAGACAGACTGTTTTGCAAATTGTAACATTCTCCTTTCAAAACTCCCCTTTGGTGTGTTTTGAATGCGAAAATGAACCTGGAAACTCCCTTTAAGCCATCTGGCTTCATAACACTTAACAATGTTATATTTCAGGTTTGGTCACTAGTTGACATCAGTCAGAGAACCCCTGGAAAACTTAGGAGTACTGGACAGCGAGAAATCAGTCAGATCTCTGAAAAGGAACACTTGAGAATTAATCTGATGTTCACTAGTGAGTGGATCCGTACAGGAATTTACCTGGAATTCTAGTGAAATGTCGTAACCAGCGGAGTCCACCAAGTCCCGTTAGAGATCAGCTACTCGCCTATGACACTGGTTAGCGGTTACCCTACATATATCGTGAATTGGTAGAAGTCGGGATTCATAGGCCATTGGATCGGGTCCCAGTGGCTGAATGGTCTAAGAGTCCACCTTGAGGTTGGAAGCTCCTGGGTTCGGACCTCAGTAGGTTTGCACTGATGAAGAGTATCAAACTAGGAAGAAACAGTTGTCTAGTACCCTTAGGCTCTCCAAAGGTTCCGTAACTGATAACAACTCGTGATAAAACCTGTAACCGATCAAATCCAATCAAACCAATACTTAATAATTTTGTAATTACCAGTTTAACTTCTGAGTACATAGTTACATTGTAAGATTAAGCTTGTGCATCATGAAATTTCCGACAGCTATCCATATTTATTGTGCAAAGGACCGAATAAAACCATGTGTAGCTTCAAACCACGTCACTTCGTCGAGTTGATACCAACAGAGCTTTGAAAGCTTTTTCCGTATCGCATTTTATCTACCTTTTCCCATACTTTACGAGTTCGACTTTAACACACAAAGAAGTGATAGGAATTCATCTGAACAGGCCAAATCTGTGTATTCCAAAGAAATTCCTCGTCGTGGCAATCTAATCAATATGTAAAGAGTCTTATAAATGATTTTCTCCTATCTTTGTAGCTACCAGCTGACATTCATTCACCTACTCTTCTTAACTATAATTACCTTCCAAATTAACTGATTTTAAATCCAGTAATGATCTTTTGTCCCTCCTATACCTCGAAAATGATCATTCTGACTGACCAACTGATCGATTCCCAGCCTGAAAATAAACTAATCAGAATTGATTTATGTAAAATAACGCCCACTAATTTATTGATCATTATTATAGACTAATCGACCTTGGCGATTTTTTGATCATATGTTATTGTTATATATATTCTTTCCAAGCATCTCGGTATCCTCTCAGTTATGTAGTAGAGGGGATTTATCTAGTAGACGTAGAACGTTGGTAGCATACAGGCGACACCTGTGATCACTCTGACCATATCAGCATCAATCATTATCAACGGAGTCGACTAACAAGTTCAGTAAATAACAAAGAAGTTTATTCACTTTGATGATACTGTACATCCTAATCACTTGACAGAATTTAGGCATAAACGAAAGGAATAATGAATACTCTTAAGCTGTAGAAATGTTAGACCACTTTTTTCAGTTATTGAGTTAGTGTAGAGCATAACTTTACTACAATACTTTGTCTGACAAACATTAATCGGCACTAAATATTGATTGTATATTACATAGGATTGATGTTAATCAAGCTTTCAGAGTTATTTATCGGATACCAACAAATCTCAACTTCGCCTTAAGAGTTCGATTACTAAATATTGCTGAGGCTGTTGGGATCCACATTAAAAAGCCTAATTTGTGCGTCCAAAAGAAGTTAGTTCAGACGCTGTCCCTACCTTGGCCATCTAGGTTTGAATGATTCTCAATTTTCGTGAAAATTTCCTAATTTTAGTTGATATCCTACTCGCTATTATATCTTTATTACTATTATAATTTAAGTATTTTTAGTGAACTGTAATTGCATTGATCTTGCTTTACAAATCGATATTATTTAAAAAAAAACACTAATATTGTTATTAACTACCAACCTTGAATATTCTGTGTATATAAACATGTATATAATTGTAGAGCCAGAAGAGGAATTTATTGAAAAGAATATTCTTTGCTCGATTATGTTGTGTTTTATAGATATCTGAATGAATATTTTTGCTATATTATCTGATTGAATCGAATTATCGATGCAGAACTTTATTGCACAAAAGTGTAGCAGTTCAAGTAGTCAAACTCCATAAAAGTATACAAAACTGTAATCAACAGTGGCCTGCAGGGGAGAGATTAATTAAATGCAGAAAGATAAGAATCTAATAGCTCTGGAAGATAAGGAACAGTGAATGTATCTGGGCATTGTCACTAACAGTCTTCAGCTGCCATTAGCTCTTAATCTCTCGTAGACCCTAATCAGGCAGTCTACACCTACCTACATGACTGGTTCAAGTCAACTGTCAAAGACTTCATAAACTGATGTCAAGTTTCGATTTGAGCACTGTCGCCTGAATTTTATTTCAACCTAATCGTATATTAGCTAAGACAGCTCGTAGAGAGAGGCGATGACTTTGATATGCGAAATACTTGTCATAGACATTTCAATCAATAAGCTTACGGTCTACCGGAGTGAACAAAAGTTCATTTCATAAAAATCAAGAATAAAAACACCCTGACAATCGATAAGTTTTATGTCGTCATCACACAAAACAAAAAAGAAGAAAAAAGGCGAAATACAGAAAATTCAAAAAAAGGAAACAATTAGAATAAACTTCGTCGATGTAAATAAAAGAAATAGACAAGATTTTAAAAAAAAAAAAAAACAAAATAAACAAATAAACATTGTACACATTGAAGAAACTTTAAAAAAAAAATAAAATAAAATGTTCGTGTTGTTAGTTAACACAATGCATTCACAGAAAAAGAAAAACAACAAGTAATTCATTGTTCATGTCACATCATAAATATGAGATCTTCCGACAGGATCCGAATCAACCACCATCGAAGTATTAACTAGTCTCACGGTCTACCAGTCAGCAGACAGCGGCTAACCAGATCACTGTAATCATCACAGCTATATTACCTAGTTAATTAGTTATTTAGTCAGTCAGTCAGTCAGTCAGTCTAGCTATCAATTAATAAGTATTCTACAAACACCCTTGAGGGGAAAATATGATAGATATAAGCCAATAAAAGTAATGTCGAATGAAATAAAACAAACAGATTCTGCACTGTCATCATTGTCCTAAGTGAAGTTTAAGAATGTATACATGCATTAGAAGGAAACGATAACACACTTTTTCACAAAGTAAACAAAGAAACGAACAAATTCAAAAATCATCGTCATCAACATCATCGGTAACATTGGAGGAAAATAAAAAAGCATTCACTCACATTGAACATTGAAAAAAAAACCACAAATGATAACGTAACAAAATACTTGTTTAAGTATGAACACTGAGGGCGGGAGGCGGGTGTTTTAATTTTAAGGCATTTTAAGGAGTGGGGGAGACAACAAAACAAAATAGGGAATGCTTCAAAGAAAAAAGGAAAACATGAAAAGCACCACAACTAGTATACATTAGAGTATAGATTTCAAATAATTATAAATGCCAAATAAAGTGGCAAAGTAAAAAAAAAACAAACGTGAGGATGACAGGAGTAAGTGACTTTTTGAACAGAGTTAAAGTCCACCAGCTCGTTGACCACTTTTATCGCCTAGTACATTTCTAATATATGCACTGTTGAATTGTTCTAAGAAAATGAATGTCAACACAGTATGTGGTCCAATACGTAAGAAATATGGTGTAAAACCTTTCCATAAGGATGGAAAACCTTCATTGCGTATTACACGTAAAATAACATCCTAGACAAGGGGAAAATAATAAAGAAAACTGGTATAGATGTAATTATATTAGACGTTTATGGTAAAAACATTGAAAGGGAAATATTTCTCTCCCCCACCTCCATCCGCACAACTCGAATGCTCAACTGGAACAACTATATCTCGACAGTCACTAAGATTTTGCTTATTCATAGCAATAACAAATGCCACAGACAACCACCCCCTCTCTACAAACTCATTTTCACTGCTTCTCAATAATCTTTTCATCATTCAATGATCTTGTCTATAGATATGGATAAAAATTCCTAAAATTAATTATGTATAAAACTTGGACACTTTGGTAGAATGTAATTCCATATGAATTCTCGTTTAGTGGACCTATCATATACAGTGAAACACTATTATTTATTGGGTAACATGTTTACAAAGCAATTTTCTGTTCATATAATCATGCCAACTTTTTTGATTGGACACTGGTCAGTAACCAGTGTATTGTGTCTTGTCCTATTTTCCGTGCAGACTGAATTCTATCAGTCAAGCTTGCAATGTGGCCACCATGCTAGGTGGCTCACCATCACGGTGCACTCTCAATTTCTGGTATTAGATGGTTGGAGGCAACTGGCAAGAAGACTTGGACCTAGGCTTCGTGCTAGCTGGCACTCATCATCAAGGCGTATCCGCAACCTGAAAGGAACTCATGTCCCTTCTGAGATTCGAATCCGTGTCTCACTGTGCTGCAGTCAGAGAGTCTGCAGATACGCCTTGCTGATTAGTGTCAACTAACACGAAACCTAGGTTCAAGGCTTCCTGCCGATTGCCTTCAATCATCTAATACCAACAATCACACCAACTGTAGCTACACAAATTACAAAAAGCGACTTTATAATTTCGCTTTCTTCTTCTCCATTTGAGGTAAAATATTCTGATCAAAGAGCAGTAGGCTGGGGTCATTTAGACTGACTAAACACAAAAACTGAGAGAAACTTACACTTATAGACCAAAATGATATAAGAAATCTATAGTACAACATGCAGCTCTACACACAAACATACTAGTATTATGGGAAAAGGTCACAGGGTGGAGACAGACTGATTTCATACCTTGGCGTTTCAAGTAGAATATATAGCCTCAAGTTTGGGCTTCGAAGTTCCCAGAGGTGAGATGCTGTTTTTCCAGACGTGAGGTTACTAGCCTGACATCAAATCTTCCGGACTTACCAGCGGCTAGGTGAAATGTAAGAGTTTATTGGCTGATAACAGAACCCCGATCGCAAGCATGGTTGGAGAGCATACTGTCCACAGACCACCGAGGCTCAACAAAGCAGATAGTACCCGGTATTCCCAGACAGTCACCTATGCAATTACTAACCAAGCACAACTTTGGTGACTGGGCGAGAATCAGTGTTTTGAACATGGTATAGTCGCAGACTTGAGAGAGAAAGATTGACACCTAGAACCATTTTATCAAATCAATTTAGAATACCAGCAGTAAGAATGACTCAGCACCTAACCCAAACATTTGCGGAATTCTATAACTCCTATGAGAAACACGAAGGAAGAGAAATATAAACATCAAGTTTCGAAGTTCTGTAGTTACAATTTATTATTTCCTTGCGTTAAAAGTGGAACATAGGGCTTCAACAGCACATCTCCATTTCACCCTGTTCTCTGAAGTAGTTTTTAGCTGTCCCTACTATTCCCATAAGCTTTCACCTCCTCCTCTTCATCAAACGATTTCCTCCATGTCACTCTTGCAAGAGTGACAAAGAGTTCCTCCAACTGTGCAATTGCATGCATAAACATTTTTTTAATTACTATTCAAAGAACTCATGACTTAATTCCTTTGTTTAAATATATATATATATATATATATATATATATATATATATATATATGGTTTTGGAGTTGCTTATCATGTCAGATGGCCATGAGCAACCCGGAATCATAATCGCTGGGTTATTAAATTGCCAGTCTACCATTGATTGCTAATTCTGTGACACATAACCTCCAACTTCCGACAATTTGTAATACAGAACTATTCCTATCCTAAATTATCATTCGCTCGTGTGAAGGATTACATAGAGGACGTAGGAGTAGATCGCTAAAAAGTGGCAAGCTTGGACTAAACACACCTACAGTTTTACATAATATAAAGACTTATCAAAGAATGTAATCATATGACTCTCATCATATTTTCAACGGAAAGAGAAACATCAAAACGTATCAATTGCATCCATGAATATTGCCGCAACAGTCGCAAACCGGAGCTTCCCATCGTTCCACTTGGCTCCGAGTGCTCTAGCGTCTCCGACTTGTCCATGTCATCTACCTTCCCTGGATGTAATGTTTTCATTCCTTTCTACCAAATGCTCACACTTCCTCCGTATCGTCCACTACATTCTCCATTGACAATCGTCTTGTCCTCTGACCCAGATGACTCCATTCTCTCCTATACCACATACCCTTTTTGCTACGCTTTGATTAATTTCTGTCAATTGGACTATGATAACATTCGCCCAATTGATTCACTGGTCAACTCTACTGCCATCTCGACCGTGGCCCGGCCTCATATGAATGTGTGTCTACATGTAGGATCTATCCCTGCCTTCATAGTAGACATAGTGTCCAATACATGTTTGACAGTCCAGACCACAAATAGCACACAATTTGTCCCTTTTGTTAACTTCGAGTCTTCGATCCAAAAGATCATAGTCTGTTGTCTTTCTGTCGTTTTCTTTCTTCTCTATATAAAAGACACTTTAAAAGTTAAACATGGCTCAACCTTTCCAGGTCGCCTTTAATGTTTTCCCACCATTCAGTTGTGTGTCTTTTTAAAAAAGAAAACAAGAATAAAAATTCTATTCCATATACAGGAGAGAAGAAAAAGTTAAATATGTTTACCCCCATATTTTTATACTCCGGTTTTCCATCGATAATTTTCATATTCTGAATTCTTGTCTTTGCAATATCAATAGGTAAAGAGAATACAGATGTCGTGAAACCGCTTAACAGACTAGCCAGTGTATGTACACCTAATCCATCAGTTAAATAACCTAAAACAGAAAGCGAAATATATGAGGAGTGGAAATATACTACATATGACAATTTTTATTATTATTTATCATTATATCCCTGGGTCCCAAGTGAAGCATAGGGCCTCAACAGTACATCTCTATTCTTTCCGGTTCTCTGAAGTCCTCTTAAGCTGACCCCACGATTGACTGTGAGCACTAACCTCCTCTTCACAAAATCTCCTCCATTTCACCATCGAACTTACAAACAGCTCGTCGTTCCCTAATCGAGGGTGATGTCACCCGACAATGCCCTCAGTGTGTCCGATCCACTTCTAGCTTCTTCGGCATATTTGTTGAGAAATAGGTTCTTGATTGGCAACACATTAAATTTATTGAAGTAATAGACAAGTACACGTATAAACACAGCCAAATAATGTAAGATAACTGGGAATCATAATTCCGTGTTTGATGTTTTCCGTCTATCAATGGAACTGCCCTAGTATTGTTTGTGGGAGTCTTAAACCAAACTTACTATTCTTCATAATATTTAATGTTAACACTATACCAGCATTATTATTATTCATTACGTGAGTTCCAAGTGGAGTAAGGGGTTTCCGGGGCACATCTCCCCAATCACACTTAGTTTTCCGTCATCGCCACACTCAAATGGCTCCACGACTGCCGGCAAGCTTTCATTTCCTTACTCTTATGTAATTTTCTATATGTCACTCTCAGACCCATACCCATTCGGGAGTTTACTCGACGACCTGTCTGATTTGCGGCATCAATCTAAGGTCTCCTCAGTGAATGTCAAACCTATCTCCATTTTTGATGCTGTACATTTGCTGGGCAATAGGTCGTTGGTTGATTCGTTATCAGAGTCTATTTTTGCTGACTGTCTATTCTTTCTAACCTGTTATCTGATCTTCAGCATCAAGCGAAGGCAACTGTCGATAAAAGTCTGCAACTGGCCGTTGAAAATGCACTTTTGGTTACGAACGCACCAAGTCTCTGAATCACATAAGAGTTTACTGAGTTGACAATGGTATTGAAAATCCAGACTACATTAGTATCCCAATGGATATTTAATAGTGCTAACTGTCTAACAAATGCAATCTGTTTACTTTTTTTGCCGAAAAACTATGTTCATTTAAGTTATGAAACACGTATTCGATTGTCAGCCAATCTCTGGATGATAAATATTACCAAATAAAAAACAATCAAAACAAAACCAATGACTTGTGTATAACATTTTTAAGGATTCATTCAACCTCCGAGTGTAATTCTACTGAACTTTATTGAAACTCTTGTCTAAAAAGACGAATTCACAACAAAATGAAGCTAAAACTGAAGTTTGTGTTTCTAAAACACGAAGTCTTACAATGGTCTTCTGTTGAGGTCATTCACTTGACCAACGATTATTGGACTATTGGGTGGAATATCATAAAAATAGGATTTTTTCTACAAATTATCGTTTACAGATGCCCATTATAAATTTGAGGACTCTGATTAGTGAATAAAGAATATGTTTCAAGTTTGATCAAGAGGTGATATCAGTTAGAGAACCATCGGAAAACCTGTCTGAAGTACTGGATAGCTGTTTCGTCCTAGTTTTGAGGACACTTCGATAGTACGCATCCACCAGGTTTCGAATCTAGGACCTCCCCCTTACAAGTCGAGCTCGTAGCCCGCTCAGCCACTGGAACCCGATCAAATAGCCGCAGCATGAATTCCAATTTCTATGAGTTCGTGATTTTAGCGCGACCACCACCCAATGTTGTCAGTGAATATTTGTCTTCATGGACGATATGGTGGAGCCAATTGGTCAATTTGCGTTCCCCGTTGATTATGTTCAACTGAAATTCTGAATTTTTGTTAACATGTCGGCTCCAAGTACGGACACGCCTAGAGGGTAATGCTTTGGTGTTTGAAACGATGAGTGCAGGGTTGGAGTCACTCATTTGGAGGAATGCATGTACATTCATCTGACGAGTCCTAAATAGAATGAGATGTGCATCCAGGATTTCACTGCCAATCACCATCAGCCAAAATGAAATATATTATAGTTGTCAGATAATAATTATTCCACTAACTGTGGAAGTTTAATAATCAGTGTGTTTATAAAAATTATTTTCTATTCTGGGTTACTTATGACGAAATAGATAAAAACATAAATATTAGTTAGACCGTTGAAGATAAGGGAAAAAAGTCATACAGAGACATATAATAGTATCAATATTGATAACCGATTTGAGTGGCTTACCGGTTTCTAGAATTTTCTGTTTAGCCTGAGAATAAGTGGCTAGCTGTGCACCGTTAACTACGGCTGCTCGTCCCATTGTAGGAATTGCACCCTATAAAATTAAATAAAATTTTGAAAATATGAGTAAGAAAACTACATGCCACTTTCTGCACACAAAACAGTACCCAACTAAATCAACGAAAAGCCGAAACATCAACAGTACTTACAATATTATAGTGAATGCTGTTGGAATGCACAGAACCCATCGATGTGAATTCAAAAATGATTCACTCGATCACTTATGTTTTCACGATATTACTTATTGCTAAGTAAGGTGAAATAGGGAATAATAAACAAAGTTGGTATAAAAGAATGGTGCGATTAGTGAAAAATTACACGTTAGTGGTAGAATCTTCACCAGCCCGACACAGGAGGTCGGAGTTCGACCCAAGAGTCAACGTACTCCTAAGCCGCAGTTAGCCGATTCTAAACCCGGAAAAGAGCGCAGGTTACACATAAGGCTAGCGACTTCAACCCCCGAGAACATCACCGCAGCTACTGAGACTTAAAGTTTTAAACCCCTACGTTCCATACAGGAGGCAATGAATGAAAAAGGAAATTCTAAATCAATACGAAATAAACTGGTGATAAGTGAAATAACACTGAATAAATTTTGTTTTCCCTCTAACTGTTCAGATTCTATTAAGACGGGCAGAATTAGCATTCACTACAAACCTGATGGTAATGACGAAAGAAACAAACAATCATAAGGTTACATACATCTCATCCATCAATCACTGTGTCACATGGTTCACAGAGTCCCACTTCATAAACAAAAGTCCCAACTATTAAACAGTTAAGTGGCGGTATGACCTGAATTGTCTAAGGACGATAACAAAGGAGCATTGACTAGAATATTGGCTGTGTAGATAATTGTTCGTACCGATTAAAAAGAAAGAAAACAAATCTTCCTGTGAAAACCACATACGAACCAGCTTGACTAACATATTATCAAAACTCCAGTGATTCGTAGCCTAAGAGGAGTTGAAGATAACAAAGGCAAAAGAATAAGTCGTTTTAGGTGAAGATGAGAATGTACTGATCAAGTCTCGACTCTTCAATAAATTCTGGAACACTAATGTTCCTACCGACATCGGACAATTGCCATACTTCTTGATCTAAAGACGGCATTAGACTCCGTTAATCATGAGGTGTTGCAAAAAATGTCTGACTGTAACGAGAGCTCTATGAAAGTATATTATATCAATCAAATCAAGACATTTTACTCAAATTCATATAGGCGACTAAAAGACTATAAGATAGCTAGTTTTCAAAATGACAACCAATGGGATTCTCAATGTCATTATTCTTCTTTATTATATATGTGGGCTTACATGGAAGCGACTTTACTTGACTCTCTTTCCACGATAATTAATGTTTTTTTAGGAAAAGTGTTAGCTGAGTTTGAACGGGCATACGACATGATCATGAAAATAGACATTGAAGTGTGAATACAGTTTGCATTCGCTCTGTCCTTATCAAATCTAAGATGTTGCTACGGGATTCGTTTGAACCCACGAAGGTGTCGATCACTGCGCCTATTTCAGAAGTCGGACAGACCTTCGTTGACTGATTGTTGACGTAATTTTAAAAAGAAAACAAAAAAGATTGTTACGCATTAGCCAACCTAGCTATATTTGGTACCTGCTACCAGTTGAAGCATGTGTGTATTTAGCAGCGTTTTACTATAACACATAGCAGGTAGTGTTAAGTCAGGATGTAGTTGTGTCTACTACGGAAGATAAGAAAGGATCAATAAGGTTGTAAGCCTTTACCGATTGAGGTGACTGGGACTTATTGTACATATGGATACCCACTGCCTTCCTTGACACAGAATGTTAGCTGAGGTAGGGAGAGATAGGAAAAATAGGTAAATGTAATCCGACAAAATATATGACATTAATTTGTGTGGACCTTGACTATTGATATGAGCTCTATACGTAGATGTAGGTTGCCTACAGGAAATCAATCACAGTGATAACAGTACACACAAGTTATTATCCTCAAAATATTGAACACCATTACATTAGTTCATTGTAGTATCCTTAAATGCATTTTATTTACGTATACTCTCTCAACGTGTTTTAACTTGAACTAGTGAACTGCTAAACAAAGCTCTGAATTTATTAGTTTATTTGTGTACATGTGTGTGGCCAAGTGAACTCACTCAGTACAGAAGTATTATATAGTCTGACCAGTTGAAAAGTACGATAAGGCAACTTTGAATGTCATATCATACACATCTTTATACTCATTTTACCACTAACAAGAATAGACATGTATGATTCACAGAAATCTTTTAGAAAATTGAGGGAAAAGGACTAAAGAAACCATATGAACAATGTAGCGTCAAGAGGAGGGGTGTTTATTCGAGAATAATATGCTACTATAACTAGTCAATCACTATGTCGATAAACAAATATCAACATAAAACCTTTCGGAAAAATGCAGTAATTCAAAGTAGTACAACTAATAAGTTAACATGGGGGTGAGGTTTATTAGTATTATTATTTTGCATCAAATGCTCTCGACCTCAGGGAAGGACATACTCTGGGGACCGTTCAAGATATTACAGTATACCCATTTCAGTTATGTCCAATACGGAGAAAACATTAGCTTTTTTCAAATAAAACAATTGCTTATTTCATCCTCATTTGGGAATCATCCTCAGTACGCACCCACTGGTGTTCGAACCCAGAGCCTTCCGACCACAAGGCAAGCTCGTATACCACTCAGCCACCGGGATCCGAAAAAGTAGACGAGATGTCAGTTGGCAGATTAACATTTCCTATAATTATATCATATAAGGCACGTTGGTGATTTGAGTAGTGGAATGCTCTCTAAACACTCGCATTTGGTTGCGATTCGATTCCTGATCCATGCACTCCTAAACCCAATCTAGTTTACTAGCTGATACAGTACAGTACACCTGTAAAACAACAGGAGGCATGACATGGAACTAGCAACGCTAGTGTGTATATAGTTGGGTAACAGAACATCTAGTGAACGCAGGACATTCAGCTCCATTCGAAAAGTCCTTCATCTCATCCCTCAAAGGGAATGAGATCACAGCGTCTGGGTATAGCTAAGGCACTAGCGATCCAAACGTTCAAGCCTACGCTATGTAGTCAAAAGAAATAAGTCGAACCGTCGTCTCTACTATGGCCATCATAAAAGGTCATTTCTGTCTATCGCGATTATGCTATTATCTTTCTTAACCAATCTTTAAGTTTATTTCTGTTATTTTAGAGCTTTTTAACTCCTTTCTGCACTAGTATATTTTTTATCCGAACTTCCTGCCTATTTTGTTATTACTACATTTCTAATTCTTAATTGCACAAAAAATCAGTTTTCACGATAATTATGATCCTACTGTGTTTTTTATCCGATCTTCCTGTTTATTACCATATTTTAATCCCTATTTACAATTTTATTGATTTCATTCTTTACAGGAGACAGTTCTGGAACTTTCTCACCCATTCACTATAAATACACAAATGTAAAGCCTAACTGATGACTTCGTCGCAAGGTAATTTTCTTCGCTGCAACCGTCTTTTTTAATATTTCCTATAATCTAATGTGTATGTTTCAAGAAGTCAATTGCCGGATGGTGACTAACAGTGGAATCCAGCATGCTCATTTCGTCCTATTCGGAACTTGTCATCTGAATGTACCTACACTTGTGGATTCCACTGCTTGTCACCGTCCGCCAGTCAATCTCAAGTCACATGACCAGGCATCGTCGAAGCATCAGCACTAGGTGCCAACATGTCAACCTGAGACCGAGCGTATCGGTCCAATCAATCGACGGGAAAATCTAAATTAAATTATAGATTTTTGGTGATTTGAATAATAACTGTGCAGAATGGAATTTTCAGAATTATACATATTGCAGCAATTCATTTTCCTTTACAAATTAATTAATTAATTAAATAGTACAATTAATGAGACTACAACAAGTGAAGTTAATGGAAAAATAGTGTGGTGAGAGCAGACTGCTAGCTAAATTGGTAGACATTAATTTACGTCAATGTTTATGTCGCAAATATTGGTCGTGAGAAAAATAAGAACAAAGACTGATTCAACAACCAACCACAACAGACTTTGCGTAGGCGGATACACTTAACATATAGATGATGTGACATTCAAGAAAATCACAAAGAGATGCAAGGTCAACTTTCTGTGAGAAACAACCAATCAGAAGACTGTGTTTGTTTGCTCGAATAATCCATAATAATGTACATGAAAATATATAAATGCGTGTTGAATTCCTTAATAATCGATCTATTGCCTGGCCCTTGTCTTCTGTTGTTACAATAATATATGTAATGATAGGAGAAAATGGAGATGTATCGGACATAATTTGAGAAGGCCATCAAATGACATCCATCGCGCGCCAGACCATCCCTCGAGTGGACTGTAAACGGGAAACGACGAATGGGTCGTCGGTACGAGGGTGACATGTAGGAGATTATGTGAAGAGGAGATGAGAGATTATGGGCAATTGTGAACCTAGTCAAAGAGGACAGCAGAAAATAGAACATGGTGGAGATGTGTTGCTGAAGCCCAATGTCCCACTTCGAACCCAAGAGAATAATAAAAATAGTGCAATTAATAAGTTACTGCTGATTTACAGATTACTAATTAGATTCATAAGTTCTTTTGTGACATCTATGACATTTTCTTACCTCACTAAATATGGTATGATTGAATTTTTATATATAGTCGTATGAGAACAAATTCTTATGAAATTTCTTCATAGTTTTACCCAAAGACATACAAAGAAAAAGTTGCGAATATAAAGAGGATGTATGTTCAACTTTAGCCAATTGCTTGAAAGAAGAATTAAAATGCCTATCAACAACCATTAGTCAGTTAGGTTAAAGGAGATATCCCATTAATCCTACGTTACATAGCATAGTCTTTTTTGAAGAACCACGGGAAGAATAAGGGGAAACAACATATAGAAGAATGGATAGAATATATGAATTAATACACTTTAAAAGGCGTTGAGTTATGTTAAAAAGTTCCCCCTTCTTTATGCAATATAAA